ATGAAGTAATCATTTGAGCTGTTCCGCCAGCGCTCTGCTGCTTCTCAAGCAACAGAACATCATACATTATATTTGATTTGTTAAAAGGATTTTTGTTATGAGGTCTAACTTTATACCGTAAACAAATAGAGTGGTGCAGGGATGACTCATTGTTGTAGGCCGACCTGGAAGTTGGCAGGAAGGACAAAAAGAATATATTGTTTTTTAGGATTTTGGAATATTGCAAAAAAAAAGCGCTTTGGCGAACACATTTATGATTACAATTGGCAGAACACATTTGCTTTTAAACAAACTACATGACTGGTGCGTCAACACCGCTAAGCTAAAGGGTTGATGACCCTAAGTATTCACATTTTCTCACTTGTTAGCAACCGCTGCTTTTAGGACTCGTTAAGCATTGGATGTTCACCAGTGGGGAGTTTACTGACATATTTTATGACAAAATACGAACATCTCACAAGCCTAACCACATTAACCACAAACCTTATTTTGGAACGATGACCAAAAATTGACTTTGAAACCCAAGATGCTAAAATACTAGCTCATGTTCAGGTTTATGACTCATTCCTACACCGCTCTTTGCACAAGGTGATTTTTCTGCTAGATTCTTGACACTTATACGACCCCCTTTTTTTTGTACTTGTTCTTGACAACGTTTTCAAATTAACGTACAACAGTACACAAATAACCAGTGTGCTTTAACAGAAACAAACGGAACAGAAAGTGAGTGTCGGAGTGACAAAAGCCTGTGCTATCATGCTTGGTTTTATTAATAGGGAGGCTGGCACCTTCCCAAAGGGTAGCAGCTGGTCTGAACTTCTTTTGGCAGACAAGTGGAGTGAAGGGAAGTCAAGTGTAGTGTGTGTGTGTGTGTGTGTGTGTGTGTGTGTGTGTGTGTGTGTGTGTACAGTTATGTATGAAAATGTGTGCTTGAAAATGGCACGTGCATGGGGTTGAGAGAGGCAGTTCCGTGGAGGCAATTGAAAGGTGGACAGCATGTGTGTGTTTCATACATGTGTGTACTTGCCAGATTTCAGGATTCCAATTGTGAGGCACGAGTTGGATACAGAAAAAGGCACATATGCTCATGTGGAGGTGCGGAAATGGTTGAGGAGTCGATATATGGTCGCATGTGAGGGCTGCAGGGATTTTATACAGCACCACACACACAGTGGCATACATACATACTGTATGTGACAGCATGATGTATAGCCTCCCACCCACTCTTCCTTTTATTCCCCCCTCCCTCTCTATATATGTGGGTGTGTGTGTTCTGCCACTAACCTACTTTCGACACCGCTCAGAAGGAGAAAATACCGCAATACTCTCACACCCCTCCGTCATTCTCTCGCTTTACCCCTCATCCAGCGCTCTTCGTCTCTGCCCTTCTCTCTTCCTCACTGTTGTTTTCCCCCCTCTTCCTTCTCTCGCCTTTATTCCTAACCACTCACTCTTTTCAATCATGTCTGTGCCCCCAGGACAGGTTTCTTTCTTTCCTATACTCTCCTGCATTGAGCCCTCCATATCTTTTCCAACTAGCCTCTTGCTGTCCTCGTGCATCTGCTGACACCGCATCACATCCGATATTGAATGGAGATGGCATGATAGAGATAGGCATGATTGATGGGCGGACTCGGCGAGAGAGAAAGGTGGACTGAGGAGAGATGCAAGAAAGCGGCGGGGACACAAGGCGGAAAAGAGCTGAGAGGAAGAAAAATGAGAAAGAGAAAGAAGAATGTAAGAGGAGACGGGGGAAATAAGAGCAGAGAGGTATTGGGAAGAAGAGAGAGAAGGCTTAGCAGAGAGAAATATATCTGTGAGAAACAGGCAGGGGCTTTACTGAGGAATAGAGACGACAGAAGACAGAGTTAATATGAAGACTGTATGGAGCTGTGATGGACAAGGTGAATGAAAGGCCAGTGGAAGTGACCGAATGTACGTGTGCGTCATATGTCTTCGCCGGTGTACTTTGTGGGCCTTTTTTTGGGGAGACATCTCTATTTACGACCTGCTACAGTCCCCTTTAAAGTGCACACACACGCAAACACTCACACCTAGACGGATAATAAAAAGCAAGCATATGCAGAACCACGGGTAGAGCGAGAAACACCAGGGAGGCAAAAGAGAGAGAGACTGAGGACAAAGAAAACACTAGAAAGATGAAGGGTGGGAGAACGGAGCGAGATCAACATCTCTTTCTGCCTCTCCTTCTCCCTCTCCCTGATTCCTGCCTTGCTTTTAACTCTGTCATGCTGCTATATTTAGCCATTGAGGAAGAAGGAAGAGATTCATTATTGAATGGTGTATGGCAGGGTGTGAGTCATTTATTCATATTCTAGATTTTTAAATGTGTGTGCAAGGGCATCTTTAAAGGGGTAATAGACATCTTTTCAACTGATAACAAATGAGGAGGTCATGGCGTCATCTATGTACGATGATGTCAACTGTAATAGCTAGTGCTATCATTGAATAATAGCTTGTGACCCTGGACAGGTCACGCTGAATTTTGTTTACCATACTTATACAGGTTGTTCCCAAACCCCCAGGAAGAGCGCTAGCTGTTTATGCAAATGTAAGTAGTGGCCAAACGGGACCCGTTACGCGTTACCCGTTTACGTTCTAGTCCGTGACGTCATTTGGGCCCAAAACATACTTTTTCCCATTTCCCATTTCCCAGCCGAAAGCGGGAGATTGGAGGCGGGGCCTAAGGAAAAATAAAGTGCACATCGCATCCTCTATGGGCCCAGATACAGTTACATTTAAAGCTACAGTCGCTCCATTTAGGGCTTAATGCACCACTCCACTGAGCAACTCACATAGGAGGCCTTACATTGGGACTCTTTTGGGTTAGCTACCTAGTTACGAGGGAAAATGAAAGTATTATCCTAATATGGCTTTGGTTGTGCAATGGTTGATGTACTTCCTTTGTGCTCAAATCAAGCCTTAATCTCCCGTGAGATTGTACCTGGACAGGCAGAACGGCATACTGAATGCAAAGTCTAGAGGTAACCAATCTAAAGTTCTATAGCCATTACATTGTGCAATCAGCATTTACTTCATAATAATAAGTTGATGTTAAAACTGTTTTTTTTCTCCCCTTTTAAGAATACTTCCTCCTCTGACTGTTTCACACTACCGTATAGACATACATTACACACCCTGCGAGTGTAAAAAGGGAGCTAATCAAGTGGTAACATAACGCTAGGACAAAATGTGCCAAACATACACATCGAACAGTCATTGCTTATGATAAGCATTTCTAACACACACACACACACACACACACACACACACACACACACACACACACACACACACACACACACACACACACACACACACACACACATGCATATACATACTCACAGTTACACGCACCCTGTGCTGGGGGACAGGGAGGCTAATTGAGTGGTGCCCTGGGTGTTCTAGTAATGTGTGCACATGAGAAAAGAGTGCTCGAACAGATGATAGCACACACTCTCTCACACACACACACACACACACACACACACACCCGTGTACCCCGTGGCCTCAATCTGCCTACCTCATACCTTTGACTGGTAATAATG